CCAAGAGGATTGGCCATAAGCATAGCGGTAACTCCGAACGTCATAACTGTCGCGGACAACAGAATCAATTGGGGAAGTCAGCCTGGACCACCATAAAGAAGGTTCCTGAGAGACGAGCCGAAACGTCAGTTCTGGCCTATCCCCCCGATTGACCAACTGGTTTGAATGTTTTGCGCATAATTAAACCGTTTTAAAAATTTTTCGTAGGTTTAATCTAGGGACGTTCCGCTCTCTAGGTTAAGTCTGAAATCTAACGCACACGATCCAGAATAACAGCAGCAAGTTCAGGATATTAAAGCTGTGCACTTTAATTCCAAGGTAACCTGGGGATTTTGTCAACTTTGTCTACAGTACATCAGTTGCACGATAATTGTTATACTCATCCTAACGACAACTAAATCAAAGCAGCCTTCAATGTGGCCAATGTATTATCAAAACAACCTTGTTCACTTCATAAGATTAACATTGTGTCAAATTTCTTGAAACGATGTTGCACTGCAATCGACATGTCTGTAAAGATTTTTTCTGACCCGAACCTGCTATTTCACAGGGATACAGATATGTTCTAGCCATCCGACTTAATCAAGAAAACTGTTTCAATCTCATGGATCCTCTCTGCTAAATAACAATCGACTAAAGACAGCTCATAGCACACGCTATTCGATTCAAATGTCTCGTTGACGACACAGTCGACGGAAGCTTAAATTTTTGTCATCAATTATCTACCTGCTGCATTGCTGTTTACTGCATACTGCTAAACCAGTGTGATTGCGAAGGCCTGTCACGCGTGCTGGTAGGGTTAGCCAGTTTATGATAAAGAAATTTTCGCTGAGAACTAAAAATTATTTTTTTCTGCTTAATTTGCATTTAAATCCGCCATAAATCAAGCTTCAGTCATTTTGCAGGTTTCCATTTGGGTTAACTTTGGCTCTGTTCATAGGCGTTGTTGATTTTCTAGAGATTATAAATTTCAGTTCATTTATCTCAAATTGTCAATCATTTCGATTGTAACATTCTCTTATCAATCCTCCCGAATTACAACGCAAAATACTGCTCACTTGTTTCTAGTAGGATAGCGAACGGTTTGCGCAGGCCTCGTCTACACTGTATTTTTGCGCCTGCAGTGCATGGGCGCAAAACAGCACCACTTTTTTGGGTCTAGCAAAACATCTTCGAACAACAGCGAATATAGCTCATAGCGTAGACACAGAATATTTTTCATAGTGATTTTAAAATATTTTACTTTTATTTACATTGCAGAGGAGGTGAGGAGACTTTTTCTGTGATGTTTTACAAACCGTTAAATTTAAAACGTTCCAAATAAGCCGCGCGAAACTATTCATGGAACTTGCAAACCAATATACTCGTACGGTCATTGAACCAGATAGAAGCAGCTATAACTTCGGGGCGATTTTAATTCTAAAGTTTCTGAAGCAAAAATGTTGTGGAATTAGAGGCAGCTATGTGATATTTCCGATTAATTAATAAGGAAGCTGTTTCTTTCTTTCGTATATACTGATGTGTTTCTTTACTGTGCATATGTTGACTATTAGAAATAAAGTATCCAATGTTCGGTCGTAATTCTTGCATAGTATGAAACTGCCATAGAAAAGAGCTGATTTTTACGTTTTGACAAATAGCGATTTTAAAGCTGTTCGCTATATACCGCATTTCGCTGCACATTTTGTCTTGCATCTGTATAACTATCTCCTCCATATCTGTCTCGGAAGAGTATGATGTTAGCCTGGCCTTCTGCTGTATGCAATATTTGTGAAGTTGATGAGGCTCTTTCTGAGCGGTGCTTCAAAGTGACTATTAGTGATGTTGTTTTAAGTAAGTTACTATTCAGCCTTCATAGCGTTGAGGTCTGCGTCTCGACCCAGTTGCAATGCAGTATACCTCACTTTCACAGGTTGGTTCAACCTTGAAGGAACCATACCGAGAAACTCAATTTATGCTAGCAAAATGCTTTGTTGAAACTTGCCCGACGTTGAATGACGATGGCGAACAACAGGACATCACTTGAACCGCTAAACGATACGATGGCACTAATGCATGGTAGTTATGTCTGGTAACCAGCACTCTCGTTAAGAGCCTTAGATCACCGTTGTTCTGCCCCGACGGACGAACGTTTTGATATCCGTCGAGTACACGTGCAGTTGTGTCATCGTTTGTCCATTCGCATCGAGGCATTTAGAGGAAGTATGTCACCGTCTCTGTCCCTACGAACGTCACAGACTACCCGAAGAAGGACCAGTTCTACATGTCTCCAGGCGGTTCTCAGTTCTTTTCTGCGACAGTAGTTTTCGATTGCTGCCAAGATCAGCGCCGATCATAGTAACTAGTTTGGTCGACATAGTAGTGGTCATCAT